GGCAGGCGTCCAAATGGATGGATTTTCATAATGTACAGAGGACAATTTCCCAAATAGTTCTTCGCCAATTTCGGGAATCGTACGGCTTGATGCGAAGGCAGCAAGATATTCAGATGGTCTTGACATATGGCACATGGAAGTTGCAGGACTTTCTGATAATGCTTTCGATGAACATATCATTAATGACGCGAAAAAGACTCTCCGTACAGACCTTTTAAATCTAATAGCTATATTGAGGAACCATCTTGATTGTGACGTGAATATTGCTACGAAAATTAAGGTGTTTTGCACCCAAGTAATTAGTAAGTACATTGTGTATGTCAGCGTGTACATTATGCTTGTGATGCTATTAGTGACATTTTTCTAAAGAAACCAGGTTGACTCTATATGCCTTAAATATGCTTCCCGATGGACGTTTTTTAGCAACTGAGCTCGCTTCCGTTATTATTCCATTCAGCTTTGATGGCAGAATTCGTTACAAATCCATTCTAAGGATGATGGCAATATTTCATGTATGTGTTTATATCAATTTATATAGAATATTTGATGTTCATAACTTATTTTCTGGGTGTTCGTCCGATTGTAGGAAGAAATCGAAAAGCAACAAACGTTAATGAGAGAAATCGACCGTTGTGTACCTCCGTCAAAAGAAAAAACTGTCCGTCAAGTGTTAAAGATGCCTATTGTTTAGATGAATTTTTCTTATATTTCGAATTTTATTATGTCTTCAATCATTGCGTCTAATTGTTAAATAACAAGTTATAATACATGGAAGTTGGCTGCAAATCAGTTTAGCAATTTTTTCAGTTCTTTAAAGTTATCTATCCATACATTCGTGCCTGTCATCAGACGGCGGACGATGTGGGAGGTATGAAGGACAGATTATCACGCCTGTCATCTGACGGTAATCTCCAACATAATTATCTTGGCGGTTATCTATTATTATCTACTGTTATCGTTCTCGGCGAGTCCGTCGCCAACGGTAGGGGGTAAGGTAAGGTTCCCGTTAATAATTTAGGCGTGATCGATGGTCCCTTATTAATATAATTTCTTAAACTATTCTTATCCCAGATCCACGTCGCAGTTTTTTCTTTCGGCTTTACTGGGTCCTATTAGAAGCGTTAGTTTCTCTCCAAGGCGAGTATTTTATTGATTACGGAGCGAAAATATAAGGTTATTATTAGGATTTTCAGTTACAATTGATTTAATTCATTGTATAGCTATTTATATTGGCCGCGATCCCACCAAACTTTAATGCATAAGGTGGCGCCGCATATTGTCCCGGTCATCTATACATTCCCTCACTTATTTTATACGCTCCAAACCAAAACCCGTTCCTCCGGTTCGTAGTATATTTGTTTAAGACTCGCTTTTGATTTACACAGCCAATACCTAGTCATCATGATCAATAATTTATTATTTCTTGCCGTTATTTGTAGTGGTGGGTTGAATTGCGCTATATGCTACAGGTTGTTCCGTCGGTCAGTATTTGGAGCGTTGTAGATTAAGTCTAGCGCTGTTTTGTTGGGCGCGGATTGGTCTT